TGACGACGACTGACTGTAGCGGTTTGACAACGACGTTTAACGTAACATTAAATGTCAAGACACACGGCAGTGACGACGACTGACTGTAACGTTTGACGACATTTTTCAAAATAAGAAACAATGACTTTCCGATGAGCTTTTGCGCTCGCTCGCGTGGCAACGTCGGCAAATAACCGTAAAAACGCTGGCATTCTCTCAGGAATGTATGAGACAGCAGCAGCGCGCGGACACACGCGCTCAAATAACGCTGTTCTCGATGTATTTCGGCGAGTGTACGCGCACGCGTATGAAGACGACGTCGTCCTTCGCGTAGCTGCGCTTCTTCAGCGCCGAGTGCGACACGAACGTCGGAAAGCCGAAGCCGAGGTTGTCGCAGTCGTCGCGGCTCGGCCGCTGAAAGTGGCGCCACCCCGGCTCGGGCGCGAAGCTCTCCGTCACGTCGGCGCGCTTCTCGGCGCACTCCGTCTGGTCGAAGAGCGTGAACGAGACCGTCTGCATGAAGGGCCACTCGAGCAGCGAGTCGTACTCGCCCGGCACGAGCCGCATGTAGACGGACAGGTGCGTGCCGTCGCCGCAGCCGTTGCCGTTCGGGAAGACGGACGCGGCGAGCTTGTAGCCGTAGCGGTGCGTGTAGAAGGGCGCACTGCGCACCTCCCCACCGCTCTTGCCCGCGCGCGCCTCGCTCAGCCGCGCCGAAAAGTCGGTGATGCGGAACAGCGTCGTGCCGTCCGTGCTCGAGGCGATCGACTGGACGGCCGTCTTCAGGCAGCTGATCTGCTGCCGCTGCCGCAGGCAGACGTCGGTGAGCAGGGCGAGGTGTGCCGACGTGCTGTCGTCCATGTGATGCTGCAGGAGGCTGCGTGGTCCCTGCATGCACACGGAAACACGGACGGTGAGTATTAACGTCGGCAACTCATACCACGGGCACTACATGCACACGGAAACACGGACGGTTGAAGTTGTTCGAACCACGAAACGCGGGGGTTTTTGCGTTTTTAAAATACGAAGAAGTTGTTGGAGATACGAAACGGTGAATACGATCTCTAAGCTTACTGGCTAACAGGCGCACTAGGGCCGTTTCAATAATTAAAGAATTCCGATAATAAAATGAAAGTAAATAAATGTACGATTTGTGGTTTACTACCTGGTACGTCTCGCTAATGTTTATCTACTTGTAATCCCCTAATAATTCACACGTAAATAAACGTGCAACGATTAAATGCTCCTCTGCGTGACAGAATCTCACCACAGTTCAGCATGTGCACAAGACTCACGAGAAAGTCGAGAGTCAACACAGCAAGACCAAAAGTTAATATCTTTTCTGTTGAATTTGTCACATCTTATCTACACTTCAAGAATGCGCGGCTGCATGAGTAGCGTGAAAGTTTCAGTCTCCCATCTGCTCCATCTATCCACGTTACCTGATTTGGCAGCCCATGTCTTTGTACATGCAGCACACGGTTGCACGCCGCGCAGGACTTTCTAGGCAGGTGCGTCTCCAGTTTGTCAGCGCGATCTTTGTCGGCATCGCCAACGGTTTGGACACAGCACCCGGGGAACCTCGGGGCAGCTGGTATCTCGCATGGCGTCTGTAAGCAAGGGTACGGGGCTGATTAATAACGATGAGGAGTTGGTGGGACTGTGCAAGAAGTTGGTTGCGAGTAAGCATTGCCTGTCGTTGCTTTTTTATCATTTCTTCTTTTTAATTTAGATGAAAATGTGTTACATTTTATTGATTTGCATGCTCTGTTTTGAGAGGCAAAATAAATGCTGTGATGTGTGGTGTGTGTGTGTGCGTGTGGCGTGTGGCGTGTGCGTGTGCGTGTGCGTGTGCGTGTGCTGTGTCGTGTGTGTTATGTGTGCGTTGTGTGGTGTCGTGGTGTGCGCGCGCACCGGGCGCCGCGTGTGCGGTCGTGGTGTGGTGTGTTGTGTTATCGCTCGCGATCATCGCTACGCACAGATATCATCTCGCTCGTGTGTGTGTGTGTGTCATGTCCTGCTGTTTGTGTGGTGTGCGTGTGTGTGCGCGGGCGGCGTGTGCGTGTGCGTGTGCGTGTGGTGTTGCGGTGTGTGTGTTGTGTGTCGCGCGCACCGCCGCGCCCGTGTGCGTGTGTGTGTGTGTGCTATGGTGCGTTTGTGTGTTGTGGCGTGTGTGCGCACTGGCGAGCGGCGGGGTGTTGTGGTGTGTGTGTGTGTGGTGTGTGTGTGTGTGTGGTGTCGTGTGTTGTGTGTGGTGTGTGGTGTGTGTGTGGAGTGTGTGGTGAGTGCCTGAGTCGTATGCGTTTTGTGGTGTGTGCGTGTGCGTGTGCGTTGTGGAGCTGTGCGTGTGCGTGTCGCGTGTGCGTGTGCGTGTGCGTGTGTCGCAGCGCGCGCGTGTGGCGTGTGTGTGTGTGTGTTGTGCGTCGTGCGTGTGCGTGGCGTGTGCGTGTGCGTGTTGTGTGTGTATGTGGTGTGTGTGTGTGTTGTGTGTGTGTGTGTGTGTGTATTGCGTTGTGCGGCGTGTGTATAAGTACTGATGTACTGCACGGTGAGGGTTTCGTAGACCGAAGTCGCGGCTGGCCAGTAGCTTGCAGGGCGCTCGCCGCTTGCTGGCCACATCGGTTCAGCGCAGCATGTTGAGAGGAAGCGGACGCTGATGCAGGGTTGCTCCGCACTTTCTCCTCGCAGAAACACTGGCTTCAACTGAAAGCTTCCAGGTGCCCCTGCAGGGGAAACAGTACGCTCACGTCAGGCTGATGCGGAGAAGCGACACATCCGCACGTATCCCATCGCTTGGAAGTCTGCCCCTTATCCTGTAATTATTCCGCTTACGTTCCCCTACTCAGCTCGTATTCCCTGTCATATGCACTTCATATCACTCGATGCACCATCTCCAAACGAACCTCCATCGCTCATTGATCCTCACCGTGATCTTGCCTTTCCTTTATATTTTACTCCCACATATATCTACCTTCCCGTCGTCTACTTTACTCGCTCCCAAGCATGCATTGTTTTCGAGGTTCCGCGCGACAGCGCTATCCGCTAAGGACCGCGCGTCTCCGCCGCCACGTGATGGCCGAGTACGAGGGCGCCACCGGTTCCGTCGCTCCGCTCGAGCCATTTCGCCGTGAATTCGCGGCTGCAGAACTCGCCAACGTTTCCTTGCGGCGCGGACAGTCAACGTGTACGTCAGGTGATCGTCAGCGCATTAGGATCTTGGCTAGGCATCGCGGACAATTTTGCGTGCAGGGCAACCGCGTCGTAGCGACACGTCCAGCCAGGCTGGCTCTGCGAACGGCGAAGACAGTTAGAGATTAATCACCGCGAGAACACGCGAGCCAGTCAACTTCTTGGGGCAAAACACTGGCGAAGATCGCGCCTGAAAGCTAGTGAAAGTGTTTCCCTGTTACGGTTGCGATGCGTGGTCTCATAGTTTTTCATTAGCGGTGCGCAACTTTCTTACAGACGCTGCACCGACTGCGCTACACATTGAGCCTCAAGCCGGTGATCAACGAGTAGGAAGCTGCAACAATAAGCATACTATAAAGATACGCATGTTGGGCCATTCCAGACAGGGAATATCAACGATACAGTAGTAGCTGGCAAAAATCGATGATGTCTAAGTTTCATTGATATCGGCAGAACCAAGTCGCATAATCGATCCAATATATTCCGCGTCCAAAGGTCACACGTGCGACACGTGTTGTACCGCTACCTGCAGGTGCACTGATTTCAGCTGAGGCATATATTGACTCGATTGATGCTCATCCAGCTCCTCTGTCGGCGAGTTTTCCTCTTAACTCGCTTCTTCGCTTCCCCTCTCTCTCCTCCTCCCCTCCATCTTTTCCCCTCCTCTCTCTCGGTCTTCCGTTTCCCCTCTAGTATCTCGTATCGCCCTTCTGAGTCTATCTTTCTATCCTTCTCTACTATGCTCGCCTCTCTCGTTTTCGCCTCCCGATCTATACTAGTCTTCTCTGTTTCTCTCTCGTCCTCTATCTATTCTCTCTGTCTTCTCTCTCTCTCTCTCTCACTGTCTCTCTCTCTCTCTCTCTCATCTCTCTCGTCGCTTATATATATATATATATAGTATAATATAATATATATATCTTGTCTCTTTCTCTGCCTTCTCGTCTCTCTCTGCTTCTCTCTTTCTCCTCGATTTTCTTCCTCGCGCTTGTCTTCTCCTTCTCTCTCTCTCTCTCTCTCTCTTGCGTTCTCCTCTCTCTCTCTCGATCTGCTTTCTCTTCTCATTAGCTCAGCCGGCGTGTGTCTATTATTACAGCATCAACTTATCGACATCCATGTCACCTCAACTAATGCACTATGTCATTACACGACAGCAATTTAGTAAGCGACTTATCGCTAGAGAGCGTATGGGACGGCTTAACGAGCGCTAAACACAATACCCTGTCGAAACCCGCTGGCTGTGGCTCCCGCCTACAGTCCCGGTGCGTAACAGTCCAAATATAAGAGACTCGTATAGATTGCTAAGTATACATAGTATCAAGAGCGGTATAAACGGAAGGAATAATAATTATAATTAGTAATAATATAATAGCGAATAATTTGTTGTCAATCATTGACAAGAACAGCGCGAGGTTTCCCGAAGTTATCTCAAGCGGAGAACAGTGCTCTAGTTAAAACTGATGCTGCAAATCGGTTTTCGGCAAAATACCAAGATTTTACCGCTCATTATCTCGCGTAGGGCATCGTAGGGACACGGTTTGTTTCTATAGTTAACAAGGTAGGGACAACTGATCAATGAATACTTGGGCAAAAGAATCGTCCAAATATTGGAAAGTTTATTAGGAGTGGTGACGGTAATATGCAACATGTTTTTTTACGCATGTCCCGTTGTACGCTCTCTTCTTATACGCTCTTGATATATAGTTATAAATAAGACTAGACCAGATATAAACGCCTAGATACTATACGATATATAGATCAGATTATATAGATATACGACCTATATCCCCTAGAGCGATCCATATACGTTAATAATACGGTCCTGTGGTACAGTCTTCACCGTGCACCCAGTACCCGCATAACGGTGGCGAGTATCGAAAATGAAAGAGCGTGACACGCAACGGATGCGATGAGCAGGACGGTGAAGTTTGCAGTCACGTCCCGTGGCAGCTCGCTCCCATCTGAATCATTCAGGGGACCACTCCGCACAGAACCCGCATATTAGAATAAAGCATTGACCGAAGTGAGCGATCGCTTGCTCCTTCTTCTAATGTTTTGATAGTCGTTGGACGCTTCTTCTTGCGACACTACGTCTCACGAGCAGAATATCAATTACAAAGATGTAAAAAAAAACGTGCGCATCTTTTTCACTCACAGGGTTATTGATAATAATTAGTCAAATCTGTATGCGTTGCAGTTTTACACAATATATAATTTTGAACTTTTGTTGGATTGGTTCTCTAATCCAATCAGCGGCATTGGGACACCGCAATTGTCAATTTTCGATTCTCTTCATATTTTTTCGGTGCGATGGCGTTTCTGTCACGCTGTTCTCATTATCAATAACAATTTGTCGTGAATATGCTATTCACTAATAGATAACTTTGCTCGTTAACTTCAACGATGTTCCGTCGACCGTGCTCTCAGATTCCCCCAAGCGTACGAGCAAAGTAAAAAATACGAGTGTGTATGTTCGTTCTTTTAGGCGCAGAGGGAGCCGAGCAAACGAAGCCCGCGTGCGTTCACGCCCCAGACTGCCGCGATGACTGCGAAATCGCTCCTTGAAGAATCCCCTAGGATTTTTACGAGGCCTCTAATTAGATTGATTACTCAAGGCGGCGCGCGGCGGCGGAGGCAGAGGATTCATGAGCGCCGGAACCTCTGACGTATCTCTTTATATGTTACTTATTCATGGCCCTGTACGTCGGCTTTCTCAGTGCCGCTCGGCTGTGTCCTGCTAGCGAGCGCTGTCTATACGCTGAGAGCCACGCAGGTAATCTCGACAACGCATGTATCCGTTCAGTGCTGTCACAATGCTAATTGCTGTTTCAATCGACGGAGAGGTCAAAATGATATAGGATGGCGAGAAGAATGAATCTCGCCGTGCCCGTTCTGCACTCACTCGGGTTTCGCACACGGCACTTTCTGGCGGCGCGAATGGAAAAAACCTCCCGAATTTAATTAACTAAATGCGTAATGAGCGATGAAATAAATATCTGTGAATAAAGATGAGCAAGATTCGGCGAACGAATGTTTGCGCTTTGAGACAAAGAAAGGCTTCGTGTATCGTGGATATGCCTCGATGGCCGACGGCAAGCATAACAGATGATTTGTAAAAGTATCTTGGCCGTGGTCGCAATCCACTTTCACCATTTGTTTTGTCTACGTACCTAGCACAACATGCCGGCCACGCGCAAGTGCCGCGTCCGCGCGAACGCAGCGAGCGCAATTCCGCAATGCAGCGCGCAATGTCCGCCGCACGCGCAATTCCGCCGCAGCGCCGCGCCAAGATTTAATTATATTGCTGTT